CTCGTTCTTGCCTCCTTCATGTTTTCGCCACTGATTTTAGCGTCGTGGAGTCTTACTCTCTCGAACGCTAATAGGTCGATGGGCGCAGCTCCCGCAATGACCAATACAGCCGCTTTGGAAACCGTGCGGTAGGCGCAGGCAACTCTGAGAGCACCTCGCCGCTGCACTGCTGCTATCTTTCGCCGATAGGTTTTCTGCTTTAATATATCTGCCCATATTTCCGCTCCATAAAGCAGTACCGAATGGACTGCTTCCAGAAGGACTCTCCTCTTTTTGGTTCTTGGTCCCATAGTACTTATTCTTGCTAGGCTAGACACCGTCTTTCTGGCATGTATTATCGAGGTGTGCGCGGAAAGATAGTTTCTCGTCTATCATTACCCCCAGATAGCGCAGGGCCCTTGTTGACGTTAGTGTTGTTCCTCCCATATCCACAGCAAATGGTTTTGGGAACCATTTTTGGCAAGTCAGAACGACCATCTCGATTTTGTGTTTTGCAAGTTTCAGGTGGTGTTTTTCGAGCCAAATCTCGACAGCATCAATGGTTTGCCGAACTAGTAGTTCGGCCTCCTCTACACTGTCTACTATTTTCGTGGCCGCGACGTCATCTGCAAAGCCCGTTAGCTCCACTTGCTTTGGCAACGAGATTTCCAGAAGCTCGTCGTAGTCCGCGTTCCATAGATCGGGCCCCATTATTGAGCCTTGCGGCACCCCAGCCGTTATGGCGTATTCTTGTGGGCCTTCCGTGGTTTCTGCTATTAGCTTTCTTTCGTCAAGGTAGTTGTCGACTAGTGCCAGATTCTCCGGCTCCACGTCAAATCTGTTCTCCAGGGCGTTCAACATATCTCTCCAATTTGCGCTGTTAAAGGCATTTCTAATGTCTAGCGTGAGGACAAGACACACCTTGCGAGCTTTGAGGCAACTAGTCCATGCTTCTCTCGCTGTCGCTACGACTTTCTGGATCGCGCCGACTGTTGCACGTCCTTTCCGGAAGCCATGTTGGTTTGCGGCAAAACCTCCAGTACGGTCTATGTCGTTGCGAAGTCTCCCTTGTATGAGCTTCTCGAGCAGTTTTCCAGTAATGTCCAGCATACAGAGTGGTCTAAACGACGAAGGTGTTATGGGGGTTCCCTTACCTTTGTCTAAGAGAACCAATCTCTGCCGTTTTCAGACGGCGGGAAACGTGCCAGTTGCCAAGCATGCGTTGTAGGTGTTCAGGAGTATGTCTGGGTATTCCATGGCTACAATTTTGATCACCGATGCCGGGATGCCATCAGATCCAGGTGCCTTCCCTGTTTTGAGTGACTTGGCCGCGTCTTGTAATTCCTTAGTTGTGAAGGGTGTTACTTCGCTGTTCTTAGTGTAGTGTTTCCTTTCCCGCGGCGGGTGTTTGGGAAAAAGCTCCGTTACAATGGTCTCTATCAAGGCAGGAGACATCGGCGCCTCTGGTGAAGCCTTTCCAAGTCGTTTGACGACAATTTGGTAGGCTTTACCCCAGAGGTCATTGTCAAGTTCGTTGCAGATCGCATTCCACAGTTTTGCTTTACTGGCTTTGATGGCTCGGTTTAGCGTCTTTTTGGCCTGTTTGTACTCTTTTGAATACAAATCCTTGCTTGGAGAGCGTTTCGCAGCTCTCCTTGCTCGGCGACGTAGCTGATGGCATATTTTGCGAAGTTCTGCTATGTCTGCTGACCACCAGTACACCGGCCTGTGGAAGCTCTGGTTTTTCAGCCGCGGCATAGAGGCGTCACATGCGGCAGCAATTTCTTTCATTGTATTTAGCACGGTTTTTTCCGTCTCGCTGCAGGTATCTGGAATCGGGTTGTTCTGAAGGATAGACCAGCTTTGTGCAAGTGAAGCTTGCAATGCCTCTGGATCAAGCCTTTTGGCATTCCACTTCCGCTTAGAAACGTCGCGTTATGAAACCGGAGCAAATGCCAATCCAACGCTGAATGTCACGATCTGGTGATCACTGCCACTGTATTCTCCGGAGACTGTCCAGTCTTCAATCATGTTGGCAGTCCTTGGAGTGGCCAATGAGATGTCGAGGATAGATTCTTGGTACCATGGTCTTCTAAAGGTCGTGGTGCTCCCGGTGTTCAGCACTATGAGGTCGAGTCTAGCCACGACGTCAGCGACCTCGTTTTCTCTGGTTTCGGAAAAAGCAGTCCCCCACTCAGCTGATTTAGCGTTGAAGTCTCCGGCTACGATAACTTCGCCGTTGAACTTAGTGACCGTATCTTCTATATTTGCGAGTTTCTGTCGGAACATACTAATCCCTTCGTTAGGTGAGAGATAGACGCTCATGAAGTAGGTTGTGGGGGTTTGAATCCAGACAAAACCTGCTCCACTTCCGCTGTTGTTGACGGTAACGTTCTTTGTGTTCACAATCCAAATTGCTGCCGTGCCCGTTTCGTCTGCGAACCATGTTTTACCTTCGATGTTTAGATATTGCTCTCAGATAAAGCAGACGTCAATTTTAGCTTCAAAAACACGCTAGCGCAGCAGGTTTTGCGCCAAGGTGCACCTATTCGGGTTGCCTTGTAGTATGCGTATTATTTCTGACATCCCGTGGCTTCTGCAAGTGCTTTGCGGAATGCCTTGCAAGCTCCAGGGCCAGAAATATGGCATAGACCATCCTGGGCATCTTTGTCCGAAGCACAAAGAAAGCATTTTAGCATCTCCGTGCAGTTTCCGGCCTTGTGGTTCTCTCCGCCACATTTGTAGCAGCACCTGCTTCTGTCTGGTCCCGCACACTGACGTGTTTGGTGTCCAAAACCAAGACATTTGAAACAACGTGTTACTTTTACTACTGAGCGTATACGACAGTTCACCAAACCGATCCGTATACGGGCCTTGTCAAGGGCCTTAATCGCACTGGGCTCGTCTACTCCGCAGAAGGCCGCCCGATTACCTCGTGGTGTGGGTTTTGTCAAATTTACCCGTTTGACCTCCAGGTTGTCAGTGAATTCGCGTTTGAGTGCTTCACGGACTTCGCTCTCGGTAGAGATTTCATCCAAGTCGAGGATCTCGATCGTTGTTGTTGGTGCTAGCGTCTTGACTGTGCCGATGTTCGCAGTGGCTGCCCTTACTGCATCGGTGAATGCCTTGCTGTCTTCGGTCTTTCGAGCCATTTCAAGAAGAACACCTCCATGTTTCGTCTTTTTAGTAGACTTTGTGTCTACGCGCGCGCGCGTGTGTGTGTGTGTGTGTGTGTGTATATGTGTGTGTGTGTATTAGGGTGTGTCATTTTGAGGCGATATTTTTTTTTTTACTGCTATACCAAAAAATCTGGTAGTATATAGAAAATAACAAATTATGCCGCTGGGCTAAAGGTTTTAAGTCCAATAGCGGCTTAGCTCATCAAAAAATTCGATTTCCCATTTAAATAAAACAGGAAAAAAATTTTTTTTTTTTTCAAGTCGACTTTTCGTTATTAAAAAAATTTTTTTCCGAAAAACTTTCCTCTGGCTTCTGTAGGTAATTAAATTCTCTACAAAGATGTTCCCTTGGTCGAAGACTGTAGAACCACTAGTTTCGAAGTTATAGCCCGTTAAACGGTAACATTTAAAAAAAAGGCCATTCGGCAGCCGAAATGGAAGTAGATTTCATTTTAATAATAATAATAATAATAATAATAATAATAATAATAATAATAATAATAATAATAATAATAATAATAATAATAATAATAATAAGGAAGTGGAAACGCATTGGAAGTGGAAACGCATTGCACATAACCGGAGTTGTAGAGTACAAACGTGGGGTCTTCCAAGGCGATTCCTTGAGCCCTCTGCTGTTTTGCGTTTCACTGCTGCCTATATCTGTTGCTCTCCGTAAAACTCGTGGGTACTCTGTGGGGCCCCCCGGGTGATCGAAAATACTCGATCACCCATCTGCTCTACATGGATGATCTGAAGCTGTATAGTGCTAATGAAGATCACCTACAGGCGGCCCTTAACATCGTAGCAGAGTACACAAGAGATGTCGGAATGTCTTTTGGGTTGGACAAGTGTGCGGTCGTACATCTGGCGAAGGGTAAGTGCTCTGATACAGGGGATGATGTCGAGTTAGTAGATGGGAGCGTCTTAAGACAATTAGACGCCGGAGAGTTGTATAGATATCTAGGAATGGAAGAGCACCGCATGCATGCGGTCTCTGAAGTCCGAGCAGCTCTCCGCAGCGACTATGTTAGGAGACTCCGGAAAATTTGGTCGTCCGAACTTTCCGGCAAAAATAAAGTCTCCGCTACTAATATGCTCGCTGTTCCAGTCTTACTGTACTCTTTCGGTGTCCTGAAATGGGCCCGAAAGGATTTACGAGATCTCGACATCAAAACCCGTAAGGTTATCAATATGAATCGGAGCATGCACCCCAATTCATCAGTCGCCAGATTATACCTGTCCCGGTCCATTAGAAAATATTCAATTCCAAAAAATACATATTTATCGAGTTTTAAATTCTAAGACAAAAAAAAACATAAGAATGAACAATTACGACGTAAAGTATTATTTGATAAATTTAATTTATTAAAATTAGAAGGTCCAACATATGAATGTTCTTCATGTTGTCGTTTATGGTTTAAATCATCTGTTAAATTTTTTAAAAAAAGTGATTTAAAACATTGTGATTTATCATTAATACATTTAATCTGTAAACTAAAAGACAAATCTACTATTGGGTTCTTATGTTCAAGTTGTGAAAGAATGATTAAAAATGATAAAATTCCACCTTTGTCAATATATTACAAAGAATTACAATTTCCAGATGTACCCAATGAAATTTTGAATTTAACTGATCTCGAAGAAAGATTCATATGCCCTCGCATTCCATTTATGATGATCAGAGCAATTATCAATAATGGTCAATATTTTGTTAAAGGTCGAGCAGTTAATGTACCAACTAATGTTGAATCGTCAGTTAATATTCTACCGAGAGTCCAATCAGAAACAATGATCATTCTAATTTGTTTTAGAAGAAAAAAGTCGTTTAAGTCCAATGTTATGTTTGAAAATGTTCGACCTCATGCGATAAAAAAAGCTGCGGAGATATTACAAAACTCAGAAGTATACAAATATTGTGAAATACAATTGGATTTTAAAAGAAACAAAAGTGATTTACTGAATCTAAGTAATCATGAATATAGCTGTAATACAGATAAAAACAATGAAAATTCAGATGTTAATAATTTTGATCTTAATGATAATGAAGATAATGATTCATCTGACGAAAATTCTGAAGACGAAGAACCCGTAAATGTAGAAGATGAATCAACACTTTTAATGACACAAGCCATTGTCTTTGCTCCTGGTGAAGGCCAAATGCCTGTTTCATTATTTGATCTATACGCTGAAGCTTTAAGTTTTATTAAAATTTATGGCGGTAAATTAATGAAAAAACCAGAACATTTAACGTATCAAAATTGGATGAAATCAGAAATAATGAGATCCGATCGACGATGTGCGACCATTCTAAAATTATTTTTCTCTGCAATAAAACTTAGAATGTCAAAAATCTCATCAAGTATAAATTTTTGTCTACGGAAAAATAAAATAAAACCAAATTCCGTAAGAGTTGAAGATATGCTAGATGAAAATAAAGTCAGAAGTATAGAATTTAATGATCATGGGTTTAAATTTTTATCTCATGATCGTGGATCACCATCATTTTGGGAAGAAAAGAAAAAAAATGTTTTTGCGTTATTTCGACAAATAGGTCCTCCAAATATTTTTTTTACTTTATCCGCAGCTGAAACAAAATGGCCTGAGTTAATTGTAATGTTAAAAAAAGTAATCGATAAACAAGAAGTTACATTAGAACAAGCGGAAAAAATGGATTATACTGAAAAAGCTAGATTAATTAGCAGTGATCCAGTCACTATTGCCAGATATTTTGATTACCGTATAAGAGAATTATTTAAAGTAATGAAAGAGAAAAACAGTATTTTTCGAGAACACCACATAATAGATTTTTACTATAGGATTGAATTTCAACAAAGAGGTTCCCCACACATTCATTGCTTATTATGGTTAGAAAATGCACCAATTTACAATGATGAAGAAGAAAATAATTTGAATGTTACTAAATTTATTGATAAATTTATTACATATTCAAATAAACTTGTTTCAAAAGAACTTATTAAGCTTCAGACTCATAAACATACGTTTACTTGTAAAAAAGGAAAAAGAAAAACAAGGTGCCGCTTTGATATCCCATTTTTCCCAATGAATGAGACATGTATTTTAAAACCATTACCAGATACGGAAAGAGAACGAAAAAGTAAACTACGGGTAATCCGGGAAAATATACAATTATTTTTAGAAGATAACTTTAAAAAAGAAATTGTTATTACAATAGAGCAACTATTAGAAGCATTTAATATAACTTATGATGCTTACGTAGAAATCATTCGTAGTGGGTTACATCGACCGACAGTTATACTGCGTAGAAATCCAAATGAATGTATGATCAATTCATACAATCAAGAAATTTTAAAACTTCATGCGGCAAATATGGATATTCAGTTAATATTAGATATGTATTCATGTGCTAGTTATGTGTTAAATTATTTAAATAAATCTATTTCTGGTCTTTCAAGATTAATGTATGATGTGACAAATGAAGTCAAAAGAGGAAATTACACAATGAAAGAACAACTGAGGTTGATTGCTAACGCATTCTTGAAAGCAAGCGAATTTGGTTCCCAAGAAGCAGTTTATTACATCTTAGCATTGCCTCTTTCAATGTGTTCAAGAGAAGTTGTATTTGTCAATACAAATCATCCGGAAAATAGAATTCAAATAGTTAAATCGAAACAAGACCTTCAGAGATTACCATTATATTCAACAGATATTTACATCAAAGATACATTAGACCATTATATTCATCGCCCACTTAAGTTAGAAAATATTTGTCTTGCATCATTTGTAGCTTGTTATAATTATTCTAAAAAGGAGTATCAAAAAAAAAAAATAAAATCTACAGTGATGAAGAAAGTGATGATGATTTTATTGATAATAGTCCATCTATGAAGCTAACTGATAACTCAGGCTTTGTTCGAAGAAGAAAAAAATCTAAAATTATTAGATTCATCAACTATAATAAAGATGCAGATAAAGAAAATTTTATTAGAGAAAATGTAATGTTATTCGTACCATGGCGCAATGAAAACATTTTGATTATGTCAGCTTCTGAATTATTTTCTGCAAATTACAATTTAATTAAAGAACGAAGATCAGAATATGTGTACAATGAAAATATAGAAAGTATATTAAAAGAAGCAACACACAAAGCAAATGAATCAGATAATGAAAATGATATTTCTACATTTACACCAAAAAATTTAGAAGTTGTCAATGATCCTTCTCAAACAGGTGATATTGCGATAGATATGAAGATCAATATAGATGAAAATAGTACAAGTACTTGTAATAATAAAGATTTATGTTATGTATCAATACCTCGGCTAATATCTGAAGAAAATTATATTAATTTAGTTTGTTGTCTTAACGAAAAACAAAGAAGATTTTTATTACATTTATTACATTGTTTTAAAATTAAATCGTTACCATTATATCATTGTGTGATTGGTGAAGCTGTGTTGGAAAATCTCGTTTGATTGAAGCTATTTATCAAGCTATACTTCGTTATTTAAATTTCAGCTCCAATAATTTAGAATCAATTAAAGTTTTACTGAGTGCTCCAACAGGAAAAGCAGCATTCGGGATAAAAGGTCTAACGTTACATGCAGCTTTTATATTACCGTTTAATCAATGTTCGACAGAACTTATTCCATTAAGTAGTGGTACCCGAAATACTTTGTATGCAAAATTAAAAGATCTTAGTTTACTTATAATTGATGAAATTAGTATGATAGGTTCGAAAATGATTCAACAAGTTGATAGTCGATTGAAACAAATTTTTCAAACTGCAAAACCTTTTGGTGGGATATCGGTAATTGTATTTGGTGATTTTAATCAATTAGCTCCAGTAGGAGATCGATATATTTTCCAAGCACATTCATCAGATCTTTATGGAGATATTATAGGTAATCCTTTATGGAATTTATTCACAAGTTATCAATTGACAGAAATAATGCGGCAAAAAGATGACATTAAATTTGCTGAAACTCTAAACAATTTAGCTAATGGTACATTTTCAGAACATGATTCTGATCTTTTTAAATCTAGAATAGTACATAGTGACTGTGAGATACCGAAAGATGCAATTCATCTTTTTCGTACAAATGAAGAAGTTGATAATTTCAATTTAAAAATAATAAATAAAAATGTTCTTAAAATTAATATTATTGCAAATGATAAAGTTACAGGAAAAGCTACTGAAAAGATGAAACAATACTTACTCAGCTTATGTAAAAATTTAGAAACTATAAATGCACAAGGATTACCTTCTGATTTGTCACTTAGTATTGGTATTAAATATATGTTGACTGTAAACATTGATGTAGAAGATGGACTCGTCAATGGTGCAGTAGGAATACTTAGGGGATATGATTTCAATGAAAATGGAGATATTTTTAGAGTTTGGATAGATTTTTGTGATGATGAAATTGGTAAAAAAAGAAGAAAAGAAATTTTGAAAAAAAATTATGAAAATTGGACTGCTCTCGATAAAATATCAAGAAACATCCACCCAACCAAAAAAATTGTGACTATAATTCGAAAACAATTTCCTTTAGTACCAGCGGAAGCAATTACAATTCACAAAAGTCAAGGTGGAACTTACAATACTGTAGTTGTACATTTAGCGAAGGGAATGACAAAAAATGAACTTTATGTAGCTTTTAGTCGATGTACAAAATTAAATGGATTGTTTATAATAGGCGATTTGAAATTTCCGACCCTTTATAATCCATATAATAAAGTACAGATCGAAATAAAACGCTTATTACATATGAGATTATCTTTATCATGCTATTTTATAGATAATCCAAAATCAAATACAATTGTGTATCAAAATATACAGAGCTTAAAAGAAAAATCACATTGGCTCGATTTTCAAAATTTTATGAAATTATATAAACCTTGTATTTTCATAGCAGCAGAAACATGGATAAAAAAGATGACGATATTTCAATAGAAGATTATGAAATCGTGCATCGCGTAAACGTATCTCAAACAATTAGAAGACATGCTTATGGATTAGTGATATATTGTAGAAAAGATAAACAATTTACAATTCATTATAGTTATAATAATGAAGAGAAATCACAATCCTGCTCGCTTGTTACGGGATTGTATGATCATGTTGCGATATGTACAGGTTATAAGTCTCCATCAACAAAATACGCAGCAATACAAACAAAAATAGAAGAAATGATAAATATTGCTGAAGGGAAAAGTAAGAAAATAATTTTTTTAGGTGACTTTAATATTGATTTAAATCAAGAACCATCACATACTTTTTTTAAAATGTTACTTTCAAGAAAATTACATTCATTATTCAATCCCACGGATATTACAACGAATTTGTTAACAACAATCGATATACTTTTTTCAAATTTCCAATTAAAATATGGAATTACTGAAACGATTTTCGGATATCATAAACAAATTACTTGCATTCTTAATGAAATTGGATCAAATAATAATAATAACAATAATAAAAATCAAAATAATTATGAGCTTACACTAATTGAAGCAATTAATGAAGGAAAATGGCTAAGAAAAAAATTAATTGAAACTAATTCAATCACGAAACATGATTTTATAATAATAGAAAAACTGCATGAATTTGTTGAAAATAAAATTTTCAAATTTAAGACTGTAAATTATAATAATTCAAAAATTCCATTATCACAAAACCAATTTTACTCATTGACGATAAAAGAAGGTTATAACTCTTTTTATGATGCCATGTCGACATTAATAAGCGGTGGAAGAGAATTAATGCCATGTTTGCGAGCTTTAGAAGCTGTCTCATTTATGATAAATGATAAATTTATAAAAAATATATTTGGTGAATTTTTCCAAAAAATATCTATCGAAAATAAATTAAGTGGCCAGCAACATGCAGAAAACGGAAATATAATATTAATATCAGCGATACTTCAACGCCCAACAAATATTATTACGAAAAGTAAACTTTCCAGTATCAGAATACCGTCAGTTGAAAATCGCGAAGAAATTTATGTGTACTTAGATGCAGATTTAAAACATTATACAGCATTGATAAAAAAAGAAAATTATAAAGAAGCACCACCAACTACGACGATAAATATTGATTTCAGTAACTTCATTCATTTCAACAACGAAATATTGGACTTAAAAAAAATTAATGAATTAAATAATCTAAATGACCGAAAAAATTTTAAAAAACAAAGATTTTCAGTAAAACATAGAGGAATGTTGAATGAAAGAGTTGAAACAAATATTTGTAATAAACGACAAATAATTAACTTACAAAAAACAAAAAAATCATTACTTCGAAACATTTTAGTCAAAGTAGAGAAAAGTAAATTTTTAAATCAAATTGAACTCATTTTAAATCAAGAAAAAGACTTTATCAATCAAATTTCTCTTAAAATTTTTGAAACAGTAAAAAAAAATATAATGGAACCAATAAATAAAAATTATACTTATGATCACGATTACAATAAATATAAGTTAAAAACAAAAAATATATCTAATAATAGTGTTCACATAAATCAGACTTTAAACACTACATTTACTTTAACCAATGTAGTTTCTGATGGCAATTGTTTATTCCGTACTTTTGCGGAATTGATATTTCATGATCAAGAAAGGTACAGTGAAATTAAACTTTTTATTATAAACTTTGTTTGTTGTAATAAAAATAATTATGAATCATTAATTAACCGAGGAAGTTTTTCGGTTCAAGATGAGTACGGCAATAATATAGATCATCCTAGACTTTACGATTTTTTAAAAATGATAGCTTGTGAACGCGTATGGGGAAATGAAGGTTCCATATTTGCTATGAGTGATGCATTAAAAGTTATTATAATCATTATTAGTATAGATAGAAAAACACACGAAAACGATAATATAACTAAATACGTACCAAATACCACAATTTCCTCAATACCATTAACAATCATTAATGAAACTCAATGGCACTTTATTGCAGCTCATAGGAAACTTGATTCATCAATATTTGATAAAGAAATATGGCAAAATATTCATATTATTCAAATAAAAATAGATTCAAATGCTGTACAGCCAGCTGAGATTACCAGCAAAAAACAAGATAGTATTACTATTCCACAAAGTTCTTCAAGTTTTATTGAATCTGATGGAATAAAAGCACAATCGGTTCTAGATAAATTTTACTGCAGTGAATCTTTTCGAGATATGAGTGAAATTATGAAAAAGCATCAAAAAATTATTGTAGAAATCTACAATAATATCAAAAGTTATCTTAAAACTGACGATAGAAATTATAATCAAAAAAGTTATACCCCAAAAAAAAGAGTAGTTATAGAAAGGTTTCCAAAAATTCTTCTAGATAATTTTATAATTGACAATGTTGAACCTGATGGGAATTGTTTCTTTCGATCAATTGCTGAACTAATTTTAAATGATGAAGAAAGATTTTATGAAATTAAAATTGCGATGGTATATCATATCATGATGAATACTGAATTTTACGAAATTTTATGTAAAACAAAATCAGTCGAAGTTAAAAAAAAAGATAAAAATGGTGAAGAAATAACAATAGATAATCCCAATATAGATGATTATATAAGAATGATGGCAGCTGACGGAATTTGGGCTAACGAAGGTGCAATAATTACATTTAGTCAGGCTTTTGAGAGAATATTATTTATATTTGTTGTTGATGGACTTAGAGAAAAATTGAGTTTAATCATGAAATCTAAGCCGACAACTGAAAAATCATCGAAAATACTAACAATAATAAATATGGATAAAGTCCATTTTTATGTTTGCCGATTAAAAAATAATACAAGCGATATTAATCAGTTTATGATAAATAATCACAAAAAGTTAGAAAATTTACCGTCTATCGATTACAATATCAGTGATATATACGAAAATAGTGTAATTCGACATAGATCAATGGAGAAAAATAGAAAATAAATTTGATTGTAATTATTTAAATATTTTAAATATTTTAGAACATTGTTATAGAGAACATGATTTGAATTAAAATAATTGCAATAATATTTTTAGTATAATATTTTTTTTTTTTTAAACCTATAATGCCGTTACAGATACAGCTCATTTATTATAGGACTTAAAAATCGGTGAATACTAATGGAAAATAAGACAAATGTGAATGAAAAATAAAATATAGATAACAAAAAAAAGTAATAATCATATATATCCCGGTAAGAAATTATTAACTTCCGTTAATAATATCTATTCTTATTTTCTTTCGGTTATATTATATTATTTCACCTCTTGCTTTTTATGAGATTTTTTCAAGAATTGTATTTACTTTTTTTTTTTTTTTAAAAAAATGTTTATTTAAATAAATTTAAATATATATAAAATTCTTTTTTAACACAGAAAACGAGTTAACGATAACTCTGAAATTAATTGATATTAAATTTTTTTAAACTTTTTCAGCTAACTTCAACATCATCAAAAATAAGTAACAATTAGTTATATAATTCATAAGTAACAATTAGTTATATAATTCATAAGTTTATTGTAGTAATTATCAAGAAAAAAGTGTAAATAATTTTCAAAAAAATAAAATATAGAAATATTCAGAAAAAAATTTTAGAACAAAAATATTTTGGAATGTATATTTGAAATTATATCATGGTTTAGGCCTACTGGGGACCCACCATGTAAAAAAAAGGAAACGCATTTGTTTACACAGTACCTCATGGGTAATGTGGAAATCTGTGTGTCAGATTACAAAACGATTTATCCGAATACATTACACGAGTGACTGATCAATATCAAAATTAGTAATTTTATATCATATTCATATAAAAAAAAAAAATACTGTCAATAATTCTAAAACGGCTGCAACAGTGAAACTGTATCATTAAACGAACTCTAAAAGGAGTAATATTGAGGCTATTACCACTTATGAGTAGTGAAAATTGAAGCTTATTAAAAGAGCTTTACGATGCATTTTACCAAATTTTAATATCTATTCTAATTCAGTTGTTATACCAAGTTGAAGTAGTAAAAACATCAATTTTTACGATTTTCAAAATTTCACAATCATGTCATTTCTAAATTACTCGACCGATTAAGCTCATCTTCGAACTTGACCTTGGTCTTGATCGATAAATGAAGCATGTTGAGTTTGAGAAGAATCGGTTATAAATTGAAAACGTTATCGTGCTGACAAGCCGCGTTATATCGTATAAATATATAAATTTTGAACTATATATATTTTCTGACTCAGCTCGACAAACTAAGTCAGAAAATGACAAAATTTTTTGAAAGTTGCGCCATGAGGACGGCTGCAATAGTTA